GAGTACACAGAAAACCTACATGCACAGTATTCAAACTCGACAGAGAAAGGCTGCAGTGGACCAGGAGATCTGAACCAGCAACCTGTTTGCTGCCCAGGACTCTAATTAAACAACAATAAAACAGTTTTGAACTGTTTTATTGTTGTTTATCTAGGTCATTGTCTTTTTTGTATCACCTAGCCTCTCCTGAACTTCGGGTTATGAACTGGTGTCCTGATTTTTTTTTGATACAATAGATACAAACAGGGACAGCAAAGCCCCAACAAGCTTTATTTGTGTGCACTGCTTTTCAGGACACTTCCAAGGAATTGTTATGGGACATCCAGCTGGTCTGTTGCAGACTGCTTTCAGTCACAGATACATGAACATGGATTTCAGCAGACTGTAGAGAATCCTGCAGGCGTTGATGTTGATGCTGGTGGTTTTTTTCCCTCCTTTTTAAGCAATGGACTTGTTCTCACTGTGAACTTTGCAGCACGCCCACCTTTAGGGACAGTCCTGAATTTTCTTCATGCATGGACACTTTGTCCTACTGTGAACCAATTAACAGTGTAGTTTTAGCTTTGTGCATCTCTGCAATGATTTGTCTGCAGTCCTATAAAAGTTGTTGCAATAGATGCACGGTTCACATCAACTGTAAGTCCTTGACCATAAGAGCAGGTCTTTCTACTATCCTGAGTTTTTTTTTTTTTTTTTTTAAAGAAATCAGTAACCTGCGCTATGACTGACTAATTAGTGTGGTTCAAAAAATAACGTTATCAGTTTAGTTCGTCTATCCATCTTCCACTTATCCAACGCAGGGTCACTGGGTGCTGGAGCCTAACCCGGCTGCAGGGGGTACACCCTGGACAGCTCACCAGTTTTGTGCAGAGCTAACAGCGAGAATGTGTTGCTCAATAACTGTAAAAGTGATTTTGATTATACTACATTTTATGAGTAATCAATCGATTAAGAAATCCTGGTTGTTCCAAAGATTAGTTATGATTTTTCTTGTAGCAGGATTAGCGTTCAACTTGAAGGTTAAGAAGACTGAAACCGACCTAATACATGCCTGTTTAATCTAACTGTGTGCTGGCTGTCGAACTGCAGCCAGAGCAGAGTTAGCTTAGTTTAGCATAAAGATGGTAAACAAGTGGAAACAGCTAGCCAGGCTCCGTCCAACAGTTATGTAAAGAAAAAGAAAAAAAAATCCAGTCAGCACTTCCAAAGCTGACTAATTACATTAATATATGTGAAGTGTAAAAATAAAAATCTGCTGTTTAAAGACATGTAGGTGCTTGACTATTTCTTTGCAATGAACTGCAACTTCCTGGAGTCCCTGCTGGTTGCCAGGAAACTGCAACTGTCTGTGAGATGCCAATTTAAGAGATATCCAAATGACAGCGGAGGTTCAAAAACTTGATAAGCCTGTGTCAAGAAGCATTGCTGACTAATGAAGACATTTCGTGTTAGAATTTTCTGTAATTTGTACACAGACATAGTGGAAACGTGGGAATCTCTGAGAGAAAAACAGGAAGGGGTCTGGCATTACCTTCCCACAAAGATTAAAAATAACCTCCCTTGACGCTGCGATCGTCTGTGCGATGCTGAGATAGTGTGGCAAAAACTGGTCAAATCGATTCTCTGTGTTTGTGACTGTTGCTTAAATTGCACGTAATCCTGCCATGTGAACTCAGCCAGATACTAACATGCGTGACTTTCGATGAATTTGTCATGTTCAATTGGTCCAACCACTCTGGCAAATCTTCTCATGACATCATACAGCTCCTGCACCTCCTTTGGGTAGCATCGCTCCAGCACTACCGGAGACAGAGAGACGAGAAAGAGAGAGAGAGATGTGAGTAGGCAGGCAGATACAAACAAATATAAAACAGAAATATGAAAGAAAAATATCCCCAGCAGACACTTTTAGACGTGAGCAGTTTGGTTTTTTTTACTCCATTCTAGGTGAAGTAATTTGGTTTCTTTTTTGCAGTTAACCACCAGAGAATAGCTGTCAACTTGCAGCTCTGCATCAATGCTGTGCATATAGGCATGTAAATATTACCAACATTTATCACAGTCACCCTGTAGATGCACCGCTATGATTCTCTGAAGCTGGTGCAAGGGGAGAATTTGCATCCTGTAGCTACTAAATGGCCTGTATGGTCTCTCAGCATCCATGCAAACAGTGCTTAACAGATTTATCTGACCACAACCCAATGTAAGGCTTATGGCATAGCTGCCCTGAAGTAACAATACTGTTAGTTACCATCATTTATTCGTGTTCTTGTAGGGGTTAACTGTACAGTAACCGTTCTTGTTCTGACAGGTGAACACACCTGTCAGCCAAAGGATTTCATAGACATTTCTTTATTACACCTTCTTGCAACTGTTTCTTAATTTTTTACATATTCATTACTACAATTTACACTACTCTCTTGCACATCTCTCAGTCTCACTGTTTACTTTTTGTTAACTGAGCTCTTGTTGTTTTGGGGTTGTTTTTCTTTAACCACTGTTGTATGTATGAAATGTTTGCACTCTCTCACAGTATAAGGCTTTCTCTGTGCACCCGTGGCACTTTTAATATGTTGTTTATTTTCTGTAGACTGTACCACTTTTAATCTTGATCCTGTTGCCGTAACACAATATTTCCCTTGTGGGACAGACTGACTGACTGTAAGCAAGAAGTAGCAACTCTTTAATCTAAATTAGATTTTTAATGCTAAAACCTTGTTATCCAATAATTTTCAGATTTGCTTTAAAAAAAAAAAAAGAAAAGCAAAACACGTTACATGTTGTTTTTTGATTAGGTTCCAGTTATTTAGTTGCATTCCTGACAGATTTGTGTGTTTTTCTTGTTTTTCTGTTTTTCCAAAACAGCATCCAAGGCTGTTGCTCCATGAAAAAAAGAAGAAAAACCCCCCCAAACCAAAAAACAAAAAAACAAAACAACACAATTTTATCCACCTTTTCTAAACTCACAGTCCACAACACCTCATCCTAGCTATCACAAGAGCCAGGGTTACTCTGGTCAGTTTGCCTTTCCTTCACAAGGCTAGAGACAGACAACCATTCATCCTCACATGGTCCACAGCCAGCAGGTGGATTTAAACAGAGAACCTTCTATCTAAGAGGTGACACTGGATCACTGTACTGCCCCTAAAATCCTTCTCCTATCATAACTTACTGAATGAACGGACATAATCATAACTTAAAGACTTAATAGCATCTTATCATCTCAACAGAGTTCTTTGCTCTGAGCTTCCAGGCTTACACGTGGTTCACAGAATGGGTCTGACGAACTCTGAGTTATGGAAACAAATGCCATCTCTACTTTCAAGATTAGATTTTAAACTTTCCTTTTTGATAAAGCTTATAGTCTGCAGGGGGTCTGCTAACCTGAACCATTGCTTAGGTGTGTTGGTACAAACCAGGGTTTTAATAGTTTTGCAATTTTCATTAGTTTTTATTTTTATTTAGTTTTGACTTCAGATTTTCAATTTTATATCAGTTTTAATTAGTTTTTACCAATT